CTTGATGCGAACAACTTGTTCGAACTGTCCTCCGTTTCTTACTAGAGAACGTAGAGTCTTCGACACTGTCGGCACCAGACTCTTAAGACTAATCCCTTGTCCTTCAGCGAACAACTTGTTCGAATTTCCCGCCGTTCACTATCAGGGAACGCAGAATTTTCTTCAATGAAGATTGATGAACTTTTCATACACTTTTGATTTCTAACCTTTACGAACCAGTTTTTAAAAAAAATAACATTACACACACATTATTAAACCTCGCAGTGAGTATTTTTCCTTATTGTGTACACATACACCTTTTGTACAAGAAGACTATATTCCAGAACCTTCCTTCTGAAGAAACTTTTCTCTTTTTTTCTTTTTTCCCCACAAGAAGGAGAACAAGAGCCTCACGAACGCCAGCAAAGTGCCATACAGAAGTGGAAGCACCGAGAGTCGGTAAAGGAGAATCGGGTAGATGTGTGAACCACATACTTCCGCCTTCCCCTTTAAGGAAAGATTCCTCCGAGACCACAAATTAATTGCGATCTCGGCCTTCCCTCGCACCTCCGACCAATTCATTTCCAACTGGAGATCAGAACCGAACCAGACACCGAGAATCTTGACCGGCCCATCCGTCCAGTGGAAAGGTCCGGAAAGAGAAACTCCCTTTCACGCACCCAACCGCAAGCCAACAGACTTATCGCGGTTGATCTTGGCCCCTGTCACCATTTCATAACAACTGATTTCTTTGCTGACTTCGTCAATCTCGGCTCTGCTCGACACAAGAGCCGAAACGTCGTCAGCATAGGCAGAATACCTGGCCGATGTGCTCCCACATCGGGCAGGGCAATTCCGCGTAGGACCGGATTCGCCTTTAACTTGCGAAGGAAAGGTTCCAACGCAAGGACGTAAAGCAATGGCGAAAGCGGACAAGCTTGACGAATGGAGCGAGACAATACGAAAGGTTCCGATCGTACCCCGTTCACTTCCACCAGCGCACCGGGAGTCGCATACAGAAGTCGGATCCAGGTGCGAAAGTACGACCCGAAACCGGCCGCCGAAAGAACAGCCTCCAGAAACCGATGGTCAACCCTATCGAAGGCCTTGAATTGATCTAAATTGATCAGCGCGGCTTCACTGTCGACTTGCTCGATGATCAGGCGTACCATATGAAGGTTATCCTGAATAGACCTACCCTTCACAGCACATGGTTGGCCAAGATCTTAGTTAAAGGGCGAAAGTTACCTAACCCATCCCCACAGTTTTTGTCCTTGCGTAACAACTTGATCACGCTCCTGGTGAAGCGTTGGGGTATAGACCCCTGCTTCATCCAGTTGCCGAAAATCAGTGCCAGCAGCGGAACAAAAACGGGCGACTGCCTCAAGTACACTTCGTACGGAAGACCATCTAGTCCCGGAGATTTGTCCAGGTTAACCTGTTTCAGCGCTTCCCAGATTTCCGACTCTGTGATGGGACCTCGCACCTATTTGCTTCAGCGGCCTCGAGGCAGGGAAAGTCAGCTAAATAGGCGTCGAGCTGAGCAGGGCTCAGACCGGGCTCCCTGGTGAAAAGCTCCTGAAAGTAGTCACGAAAAGCCTCGCATATGCCCTCGTTTGTAGTCACGGTCCGATTATCCGGCAATGTGATGCATGCGATGTGTCGCCGTGATGCATTCCGAGCTTCCTCTGCGCGCAATTCAGCGGCCATATTCGTTGCCTCAGAGGACATTCTTTTTAACCTAGCCCTAACTACCAGAGCTTGATCCTTCTTGATAAGCAAGGAGGCCAACTCTGCCTTAGCTAAGGCTATTTCCCCACTATCACGGGATTTCACCGCCCGATCAACCTTCTGCTCTAAAGCCGTTTGCGCCGCTAGATTGAGCCGACGACTATAATCAGCAGCAAACGTTCTAATTTTGGATTTTAAATTATCCCACCAGGCATTTCCCACAACCGCTCCCGTCAGTCCCCTCTGTATCATTAGTAGAAGCTGGTCCCGGAAATCTTGCTCACCAAATAATGATGAGTTTAATTTCCAGTAGCCAGCCATCCTAACCTTAGGTTTATCTAAGTTTACACGGACCCGGACATGCCTATGATCCGTATAAACTACCTCATGAAAACTTGGACACCCTAAGAGCCCTACATCGACTCTCCTAAGACTCGGTCTAGATAACTAGCCGAGCCGCCACTATTAGTCCAAGTCCACACTACCTCGCGAGGGTATTCATTCCGGTACTTATCGACAAGATCAAACCCGTCGACAAAGTCCCGAAACTGTTTAACGCCCCGGTTGTTAGTACCCGAAATTGGCCCTACACGATCTATATCGGGATCAAGGACGGCATTCCAATCACCCACTAAAACTACCCGCCGTGATGTCGTCAAAAACGGCTCGATCTGTCGAAACAAAGCAGGCCGCTCAGAATGGGCATTAGGCGCATAAACCCCAATGAGACGAAGAGCCTTATCCTTTATGGTAACATCCAGCACAGGCTGAATAGAGAGAGAACCCCCTAGACAGTATGTTCTCATCGTCATGAGTAGAAAACCGGGTCTCTTGTACACAACAAATATTCACCCCAAGACGCTGAAGGTCACGAGAGAGCCTCGCCCTGCGAGACTCCGACCTCAGGCCTCGGGCATTCACACTTGCTAACCAGAGAGCCATGATGAAAACCGATTAGGGTTGCTCTCCTGCATTGAACATGGCCGGGGTCAGGACACTGAAGGCCTCTCCCATTGAGCCAGTACCCATCTCACTCTTGATGGAGCCATCAGGAGACAGGCAGCCAATGTCCAGGGGGAAGGTTAATTTTAAGGCTCTATACAGGGAGGGGTGAACAAAAACTGGGAACCTCCCTGAACAATGGGCGGGAACATTCCAAATGTTTCATCGGATTCAGCCATCATAGCCCATATCTGCTTTCCAGCTACACCCGACTGAACAACAGTGAGGACCCTTTTGACTTTAGGGAAATTTCGTGGGTCCTCTACATCCAAGTTTTTTTTTTTATTTTCCGGAAGTTTAATAGAGCTTTTTAAGTTTTTCATTTTTTTGGCGTGCATTAACGCCTTTTCTTCCAGATCTTTCGAGACGCGGCACATGTCTTCCCCTGTATTGAATATGGATTTGGATTTGATTTTATTTTCCACTATTGGCTCTGATGAATCTGCTGATGGACTTTGTTGTCTTTCATGTTTTTGAGGGGAATTAATAGGGGACAGATTTGGGGAGGGGAGGGGAGATGATGATTTGGTTGCAGGAGCCTTCTAAAGTGTAGTCATATATAATGATACTTGGCTTAAAGAATTGACACTTGGGGGAGGGACCATAGGATGCTGTTTTGTGACAGGGGAAGACGGTGCCGAAAAAGAGATGCCAGTTTTCTTTTCTGTATCATGTCTTTTTGATTTTAAAGAATCCTTTACAAGTTGTAACTTCTCCTTTTTTTCGAAGGACAGCTCATAGCGGATCATATTTTGCCAGTTTCTCCAAATAGCTGGCCAGAGAGTCGCCCTTAGCACTGGTTGAGGGAGTGGGGCTGTTTGTGCCATTCGCTGTTTTTGGTGTAGGACGAGGTCCCGCTGCATGGGTCTTCCCTTTCGCCTTACCCACGACCTACCATTCCCCCCTCTCCCTTACCACACTAGCTTCGGGCAAAGGCTTTTTGGGGAATGGGGGCTGGGATTTAGACCCAACCGGGGGATTTTCCACACTGGTCCTGGTCGCAGGCATGCCCACTACAGAAACCTTGTTACTTAATAGTTGTAAAGTCAGGGCCAGCTCAAGCTACTGGCAACTTGAACAGTTACTCAGGCTGCCATCAAGGCCGAGGGTGCCATGTCATGCGTTTGGTATCTTCCAAAACTAAAGCTTATAAAAAAATTTGCGGTCATCCATGATTCAAGACAGATTAAAATCTTTGGCTATTTTGTCAATAGAAAATGATCTTGTAAAGAAGATCAGTATAGAAAGTGCAATGAAAAGATTTGCAGATCTAAAGGCTAGAAAAATGTTTTAGGGAAGATAATGTTTTCTTTAGCATGTATTAGGTTGTATATTGTAATAAACTCATTATTCTACATTTTCAGTTTTTTTTGTGTGAAAAATTTAAAAATTCTACTTGTAAGGGCATTAGACACCAACAACCCTAGGGGCGTCACTGTGTATAGTAGTAGTCTCATAAAATAATGAGAATAATTTTTAATGTTCCATAAAATATACATCTCTATCGTATGTCTAACTAATTTTCTGAATTTCCTACCCAGACTCTTTTTAGGGTTAAGGAAGCAACCAACCACTCATTTCCATCTTTTCTTTACAGCTGGTCTGTATGAGGTCAATTATTAGCCCCCACCTCTTACTACCATCTCTAGACATTCTAGGCCATTTTGTTTGAAGTATTGTAATTGCCGTAGTCATTTATATTTTTTTTTTTTTCAAATGGATTTTCTTTTGTATTGCTTATTTCTTTCTAGTTATCACTGGCTCCCAGTATCAGTATGAATTGTGGATCTTATTTCTTGCAACCAGTATGTAGTTACACTAATGCATTTGGTTTAAGATATGAACCCATCTCTTGCCAGTACAGTTGAGAGAGAGGAAAAAAAAAAAAAAAAAAAAAAAAAAACTGATATTGTTGTACTCATGGAATTTTAACCAGAGCATCTTGTAGCAGCAAGTGTCAATGTTCCAAAATTCTGGTCTTCTGTATTCATTGTGCTGCAACTTTTTTTATATTAAGGTTGAATATGTAGACATGTGTAAGCATAAACATCTCTGAATAATTTTAAGTTTCTAAGGTTAAGTACATTTTTCATTTTCCTGAAAGGAGTTAAAATCTAAAATACAAAAATTTCTTTATTAATTAAAAACAGAAATAATGAAGTCAAAAGAAGCAATTATTACAAATTAATATATTTTGCAAAATCATTTACAAAATAAATATGTGTGTTGAATGACAATGTGAAGAGGAGGTGGAGGATGAGTAAAGAAGTGGGAGGTGTCAGTGGGTGTCAGATAAGAGGACCGGCTCCCAACAGCAGATTGTGACTGGTGAAATTTAAGAAATGAATTGGAGTTGACTTGGTCGGGTAGCAGGCCAGCTGTTCTGGGGACGCCATGCTGTCAGCACTACAAAAGAAAAAGAAAAACTCTTTATTATAAAATAAAATTACTCTAGTACTAGAACTAGGTTTAGGGGAAATAACTCCGTTTTCAGTTGCTAATTTTTTTTTTTTTTTTTTTTTAAATCAGGATGTGGATTACAGAAAAAAAAATTCTAAAATATTTTAATTCATTAACAAGCAATTATTTTATGAGAACCTTTTGGTCTGAGTTGAACTTACTTGGCAGGGTTAAATTCTGCTTCTTTGCGAACATCCCATATTCGTATTGAGGCATCCAAACCACCTGAGAAAGAAAGAAAAAAATATCTATTAGATAAATTACATAACGTACCTTGTGACAAACCTGTATTTGTTACTACTAACAGATACATAAACATCTGATTCCCATAAGAACATAATTTTGTATATTAAAAATTTGAATACACAAAAGAGAACTTTGATGTTAATGTTCTCTGTTGATATGAAGTGGAAAGACTATATTGAATCCATTGCTAGGTCAGCTGCTAAGAAATTCAATTCACTGTCAGGCAAGAAAATTCTCTCTCCAGAATCTATCTTACATATCTATAAGTCTACTATTTGTCCATTCTTAGAATATTACTGCCATATATGGTCCTGTGCCCCTGCTATTTATCTTGAGCTCCTAGGTAAGATCCAAAGAATCAGCAATATTACTGGTCCTGATCTGGCAGCATTTCTCACATGTGGAACTCCCTTCCAGCTTCATGGTTTCCAGCCAACTTTAATGTGCAAAAATTTAAATGCAATGTCACTCGCTATCTACTGTCCTCCTGATTACTCTTTTCTCTTTCTGCTCATCATTAACATTTCTGTCCCTAATTCTTCCACACCCTGTAACTCCTTGTGTTTTATTGGCATTACTGCCTTGCATGGGGGTGATACCAATTTTTGGGAAAAAAAAAAAAAAAAAAAAAAAAAAAAAACCTACTCACACAGACATTAAAAAAAAATTTTTTTTAAATTTTAAAAAAATGACTTTTGGACCACCAGTATTTGTAACTATACCACTTTATATTTTTAAAATGTTCATAAACAAATTTGTTAAATTTGTAGACATGTTTCATCTTTCAGCAATTTTAACCATTACAAAAAAATTGATGTAATGTGAGACTTTTGAACAAACTTTCTACAAAGTCAGCAATTTAAGATTGTTAACTCTATACTCCCCCCACCCATGTCCCAAATTGGTTTTCTGACTAATGTGCAAACAACTTAAACCAACCAAACATTCAAGGACTTTTTTTTGTTTTTACTAGGAATTAAAACTTGTCATATCAATCCCAAAGACAAATTAAGTTAAAATGTAAGATTATATTTTTTAATAACTGTCTTCTCTAACTTCAAATATTATTTCTTACATAGTGTAAGACAGGAAAAAGAGAAAAAAAAAAGAAAAAAAAAAAAAAAAAAAAAAAAAAAAAAAAAAAAAAAAAAAAAAAAAAAAAAAAAAAAAAAAAAAAAAAAAAAAAAAAAAAAAAAAAAAAAAAAAAAAAAAAAAAAAAAAAAAAAAAAAAAAAAAGAAAAAAAAAAGAAAAAAAAAAAAAAAAAAAAAAAAAAAAAAAAAAAAAAAAAAAAAAAAAAAAAAAAAGGAGAAAAAAAAAAAAAAAAATTTTAAAAAAGGAAAAAAAATTTATGAATCAAGGTGAAAAAAAAAAGAGGATTCATTTAATGCATTTATGAATCTCAGGTTTCATAAAAGTACTGAGACACCCCCACCAGTACTTTTATGAAACTGAGAGACTGGCATTGATGTAGATCAACTATTATTTCTCTTGAATCCCCCCCCACCTACCTCCCTTTGGTTAAGAGAATAGTTGATCTACATAAATCTGATTTTCAGATACAGTTATCTACAATGTTACTTATTTCTCTTATAGATTACACTTGTCATCTGAAAGAAATTTTATTAAACATTACAAAAGACTTACCTGACGCAAGCATGGAACCATCTCGACAAAAACTTAATGAGTAAACTGTATCAAAATGACCACGGAATTCTTTGAACAAATTTCCTGTATTTAAATCCCAAACACGGATTTTTCTGTCATCACCTGAAAGTTAAAACAGTTATTATTAAAAATGAATTCTTGGCCCAACCCCACTTCCAAGATTTATTTTGAAATCTCTTCTTAGTTAAGCAGAGAACATTTCAGCACTCACTCATATTAAAAATATTAAAAGATGGATGATAAATTAACATTGTTTTCTATCAGAGGCAGAAATATGCATATATTTTCTACTTTATCAAATTTTTAGCAACTTGAATCTGATATTTCTTTTGGCTTATTTTTTTAACTTGTGGGAATTTAAAACAAGACTAGTCATTGGATGAAATTCAAATTTTTAACCCATAGCAGAGTCAGATGGCATCATCTCCACAGCCCTGATTTCAACTTTCCATATTAATTTTTTTGTTTCATTTAACAAATCCTTCAAATCAAACTGATTAAAGAAACATTTTGACTAATACCTTCATCTTTTGTTGCAATATTTTGAAACACTAATATATAAAACTCCAATATAGTAGCAAATGCAGGACAATTTCTTAACAGATGAAGTGAAAACTTGAGGTAATGACAATGCTTCTATAGAAATCTACTGACACTATTATGGAAGGAACATATGAGCAACAAGAAATTCTTAAGAAAAATAGGAACAAAAAGGAAACTTAGAAAAAATAAATTCTTGGATATCAGGAAAAAGGGCTTGGAGAATTTAACACTCACAGAATATACTGAATGCAAACAAGAAAGTTTGTTTAAATGTTTGGCCTAACAGGGAATGAGAAGGATAGTCAGAGACATTGTTTAGAGCTACAAAAGATAAAAAGATGAGGAGAGATATGATCAACTTCAATGACATCCTGAAGGGATACAGCATATAAAATATCAAGAATTGCTTAAAATTGTCATTGTTTGTTTGTTTGTTTGTTATTTTTTTGCAGGTCATTTAAAACCAGGAAATATTTTTAAGAATTCTTAGGAGAGAAGATTTGCTGATAAGAGAATATAACAAACCTGATTGGAATTAGAATTTGTCATTATACCTTACCCACACATACAAGCTTACAGCACACCTGGTGTTACCAAAGCTGTCGCCCAGGTATTTCTTACTATTGTTGTTAATTTTGAAGAATAGGACGATAAAATGTATATCAAAAATCTGTCACAGCCAGAAATAATGAACGTGTGTATGTCAGAAATCATTTCAAATTCTTATATCAATGAAATCAATGGGGATAGACATAGAAGTTTTGATGATGACTGTGATTGATTGCATTAACTTTCAAGGTGAAAAAAAAAAAAAAAAAAAAAAAGGCATAAATCCACCTCTCCCTGCACTTTATTCCCATTACCAGATGTCTTGGTACTGGTTTGCTGCTACTTATAATTCATTGCTACCTCAAATGTTGTTTGGGTGTGTTCTAATAAATAGATAGAAATTTAATGAAAACAAATTTTACCTGAGGAGGCAAGATACTGGCCATTGGGTGAGAAAGCCAGAGCCAGGACTGTTCCTCGATGACCTTGCATGAGACGTACACATTTCCCATCATTAATGCTCCACAATCGTACACTACGATCTGTTGATCCTGTAGCAACATACATGCCATTTGGATGGAACTTCACACGCTAGAGAGCAGGAAAAAAAATAGCTTTAGTATAAAACCTACACAGAACAAAAACTGCATTTCTTTTTAAAGAAAATCTTTGTGCCGTAATTAATGTGGTTTTATGGCACACCAACTGCATACAATGGTCAGCTAGTGTAAAACTTAAAAAAAAAAAAAATTTCAAATCCTGAATGGATTCAACCTTCATTGTTATTGTAATGAAAAAAGGTTAATAAGTGCTTCCCCACCAGAATAATTAAGTCCGAAACTATTCTTTTGTCACTATCTCCAAACTTGTGAACCAGGCAGAGAAATGAAATTTGAAACAAACACACCCACAAAAAATAAATAATAATATTTACTGTTTTCCCATGTTACAATAATAGAATCATGGCTAACCTTGAAAAAGAAAAAAAACTGGGGGAATGCCAAAATACAAAAGTTAAAATCTGCCTGTGCATCCAAACACACAGAATAATTACAGAAATTAGACTTGTTAAGCTAAAATCAAAATACTTTCTTATTCTCGGTTTGAGTAACTAGATTTGGAATTTCCTTGACAAAGTTGCAATCAACGAATGAAAAAAAAAAAAAAAAAGACTGTCTCTAAGAAAACACTGATCCATGAAGTTATTTTGGGTGGGATAGATTAATTTCTTTCAAAATTTAGGGCAATACTTACACTAACATCCAAAGTGTGTCCAGCAAATGTACGTACAGGAAAGATTCGATCTGTAGACCAAAGTTTGCTTGTTCTATCATAGGAACCACTGACAAACAAGCTGCTAACTCGACTGCAACAACAACAAAAAAAAAAAGGCCAAAATAGAAAACCTTCAGAAAATAATGATGAAACAGTATTTAGCTATAGACATCTTTATGCCAAGTGTTTATTTTTTTTCTTAGCCTTTTAGAATCTCAAAAAAATTTTTTTTAAATAAAAAATAACCCTTAGAAATTAAAGCATAGTTTAAAATATTTGCTTTTTTTTTGTATAAGCTTAGATTACAAATTTTATACTTTGTGATGCAAAATAAAAAAAAATAAAATCTTTTGAGATCACAGAAGTATTTAAAATTCTTACTCACCAAACATCAATGTCCCACACCGGGTAGTTATGTCCAGCATAACGGACTGTGTTGCTACATGTTTTCAAATCCCATAACCGAACTAGAAAACAAATAAAAAAAAAAAAAAAAATAGAAAAAACAAAAAAAGAAAACAATTAAAAAAAAGAAAAAACAAAAAAGAAAACAATAAAAAAAAAAACAGAAAAAAAGAAAAAACAAAACAGAAAAAAAGAAAAAACAAAACAGAAAAAAAGAAAAAACAAAACAGAAAAAAAGAAAAAACAAAAAAGAAAAAACGAAAAAACAAAAAAAGAAAAAACAAAAAAAGAAAAAACAAAAAAAAAAAAAAAAAAAGAAAAAACAAAAAAAAAAAAAAAAAAAAAAAAAAAAAAAAAAAAAAAAACAAAAAAACAAAAAAAAAAAAAAAAGAAAAAAACAAAAAAAGAAAAAACAATAAAAAAAAAAAAAAGAAACATTGTGATATTTTTTACATGTTAAAAATGAAAACGGTGGGGGGGATTATTAAAATGATATATAATTAAAAAACTTTAGGTATCCTGTAATCAGACATTTTATTTCGAAGAATTAATACTTTTGTCTTTGCAGAAATCCATTATTATCAAAAGAATTGGTAGATATGTAATAAGTGGGTCAGAAGCATAATTTATGTGCAGTATTTAACAATGGAAAATTCTATTTTGCTTCTGCCATAACCACTTAAATACCTTACCACATTGTAAAATTGTCATTTTTTTTAAAAACAAAGAAAAAAAACAAAAAACACCACAATTAAGAAAGAATTTTTTTCTCACAAAGAATATTTTGTTTTATCTTGAAACACTTCAAAATTTAATATGCTATGTATTTTTTTATATTTATTAAAATCTGAACAAAGAAGCTAATTTTTAAAATATCAAATACTTTTTTTATATAATGGAAATATGTATTTAATTTTATTTGTCTGCCTATTGCAATTAATAATTTTAAAAAATGACCTGCAGAATAGAAAAAGAACTTAATTTCTGCAGACAGAATCTGACCATTTTGATAACTGATAAGTTCTTAAAATAAGATTCAAAATATCTTCAATAAATCTGCCCCCAAATTGTGCAAATTCAATCACAATATAAATATTCAAGATGGCCAGCTAACTAAATTGTCCAGATTTCAAACTGTTTTTTTCTACATCTGTAGTTGACAATGTTCATTTTTTAAATATTTTTCTTCTTTAAAAGTTTAAAAATACTAAAATCTCCCTTAGCTTTCTCAAAGATATTTCTTGCAGTAACATTTTTAAGTTTTTTTTTTTTACATTTGCTCTGCTATTTGTTTGGTAGACATTTTCAGAGAATGCAAAGATTATAAGAATTATTTAAAGCTATAAAAAGAGAGAGAAATAAAACTTACTGGTAGCGTCTTTGGAACAAGATAACAAATAAAGAGGATCAGGGTCTGGCAGGAAACAAAAATTGTATATACTTCCTGAATGTCCCCTTAATACCACAGATTGGTCTTGGTCCATTGACCTGAAAGATTATAGAGAATTTTAAATTAAAGGATTTAAAATTACTGTCAGGATAAAGTTCTGTTTCAAAATGTGAAAGAAAAAACTATCAAGACAGAAAATAAAATTTATATATAGTAGGAAGCATCAGTCTATCTCGCAAGATAAAGGTAGGACCCCGTTTTGTCAAAGTGAGAATGGGGTAACTTCTGCAAGATGCAGACCTGATTGATGGTATATAGAGGCCACACAATTCCCAGACTACATGTTCCCTCCCACCATCTAAGTCATACCAACAAGATTAAAAGGAAGACAGGCCAATTACATTTGAGGCTGGCTTGGCCACAAGACTTTACAAAGCTCAAAAAAAATCAACAGATTTTAAGTTTAACTGAAAAAGATGTAAATATTGCTTAAAAGAAATAGAATAATAATATAGTATTTCTTTTATTTAATTTTTTATATATATTATGATTATTAGATTTATTTGAAGTTTATATATGTATTTGTTTATTTCTTTCAACCAATGTTTATGGCATTTCTGTATTTTTATGTTTTTGTCCAACTAACCTGAAAATCATTTGTCTTATTTTTACTTTCTCTTTTTGCTTACCTAAAAGTATCAACTTTGTATTTTCTACTCTCATTCATATAGTTTATCCATTTTCATACAATGAAACTTTATCCATTGATAGTTTAGGTGCAAGTACTGTCAAAATGGTAGCATAAATTATTTTATTGTATAAGGACTAAATAATCTGAGAGTATTTTAGGCTTAAATCTTGATTTATATTTATTATATAAACAAAAGGAAAACTTATCTTACTCAAAGGGCGAACACATCACCTAAGATAAGTTTCCCTTTTGTCTTTATTCATATTGTCCCCACACAGATATAATCTAAATTTTTTTTTTTTTTTAAAACACCCACCCATATATGAGATAGTGATATATATCAATAACATTAGGGAAATGTGTAGGACAAAGTGGAAAGTTTTCATGTGATGCATTTTGTCCTTTAGAACTTCATTGTACTAAATTTTTTAGTTTGGTGCAGCTACTTGAATTAAACAAATTTTTTTTTTTTTTAAATACCCAGCATCACTTGTTCATTCACATGTGTAGTTACACCAACATAACAAATTTAGTCTGATGAAGTCCTAAAAGATTTAAATCATAAAAAACAGAAACAAATCAAACATTTTCCCACTTTTTCATTATATAATAAAAATAAACTTTTCTTGCATCTCAGGTTTACATGGTTTTTTGTGGGTTTTTTTTTGCCATTTAATTTTAACACTTTCAAACAGCAAAAGAAATAGAAACATTGCATGAAAAATGACTCATCTTATATCTAAGACAATCTTTTTTAATTTAAAAATCTCAGAAATAAATTATTAATCTGTAGCAGAACATCAATTTATTGCAAAAAGGTCGACTTATTTGATTGTTATTCATTTTTATCAAATGGCAATTTTACAAAAATCATATTCTGATTTAACTTCATACTAGGTAAGTAATGTTTTTTGTTTGTAAAATCGGTTTATAAAACAAGGGACATAAATCTTGTAAAAGAAATTAGATCACATTTTACTCATTGAAGGATACAAAACTGAAACATCTCAGTGTAGCTATTATGATTCTATTGCCAAAAACGTTTATTCTTTTGCTTCCAGAATAAACAAAACAACTTAATCAAAAAACTATTTCCAGAACAAAGAACCAAAGATCAAAAGTTATTTCCCAGTAAACAAAAATAGTTATGTCATACAGATCTTACCAATTGTCAAATTGTTTATCACACTCATTCTCTCCATGGGAGAGATAGTCAGCAGCAAGGGTAATGTTGGCAGGGTTAATCTTGGGGTGGGGACCCCTTACTATGGAACCCCCGAGACTCCATAATCGAATTGAGGAATCCTCAAAACCACCAACAACATACTTTCTGTCATCAGATACAGAGGCACAGGAGAGACTAGAAAACAAAAGATTTTTAAAATCAATAAAAGAAAATCAACATCATTTGGATTTGTTTTATTAAACATACCAAAAAATTTTACAGAAAGCCATGATTTATTCTACAGGTCTTTTATTAAAGCTTAGTTTGGCACAAGGTAATGTATGATGCAGAGAGTGAGAATTTAAACAACAACATTATAATTATGGCCCACTAGACCAGCTCAGTAACAAATTACATCATGATGAAGCACAATTTATCCTAGAACACAAAAAAGCAGATTTGTATGTCAGAGGTAAGGTCTCAAAGAGAACACATTTGTTTTGGTATTATTGGTTCTAATTTTTGCTAGGAATGATTGCAAAATACTTTCCCCACTGCCCCAATTTATACATAGATGCACACAAATGCATGATGGGATTTCCTCCTGGCCAATAAAATAGGGCAGTTCTTGGTGCCATCTGACTCAGTCTGTTAGTCTTGTCTTGAAGACAGAAAACTATATTCCCTTATCCAAATTTGCTCATGTGTTAACCCCAATTCTTAGTTTGGGAGCTTTTTGCCATATTACTGTTAATTTGCCTTACATATATTGTTTTTTGCTCTGTTCTTTTCTTTTTATTGCAAACATCGTCAATTCCGTTTGTTGGACAGTTCTGTCATTTAGCTTACATTTAACCATGGCCACTCACTCTACGTGTGTGTGTGTGTATATATATATATATATATATATATATTATATCCAAGAATTTAATTTCTTCTTTGCTGATTCCTTCCTTTATGATGGTGGTGTTGATGATTACATTCACCACCAGCATGCAGGTTCAAAACTAGAAGCTTCCAGTTTCACCCAAACCTGCTTGTCATTCATTCCTTCTCACTGTTTGGCTTTGCAAGAGTTGGTTGAACGTGAAAGAAAATCAGAGTAGGAGAAAGGCACTTTCTCCTACTCTGATTTTGACAGGAGTTTGTTTAAGGCAGATCTCAACTTGCCACAAAATGACCCATACACTTGATTTCATGACCTTCCCCTGCAGCACATATGGAATGAGACATTCAGAATCCAGTGATGAAACTGCAACAGACTGCCACGGAATCTGTTATAATTTAAAATTTATTTAAAACTCCTGACGTAAATATAAACATAATGTATATATTATGACATTTCATTGCAACAAAATTGACATCATTTTTAGTCTAATAACCAATTCTCGCTCAAATGATTTCAAAGTTTAACAAGTGTTAAAACTTAGTTGAGTGTGCAGACTTATCTCAATGTGAATCTACCAGCAAGATGGATCAGGTGTGCCAGTGAAAATGACAATGCACTGTTGAAATGGCCACCACGTTCACATGACCTTGACGCCTTATGAGTTTTTTTTTTCTATGGGGCTATGTGAAAGGACAGGTCTATATCTCCCCTCCCCACTCTTCCTACAAGCCCAGAGGAACTTAAGCAGAGAATCAGAGACACTGGAGAATGTTATACAAGACATGCTGTAGCATGTTCGGCTGGACTACCAACTTGATGTGTGCCAATGCCACAGGTGGTATGCATATTGAAGCTTTGTGAAGCTGTGTGAAATTGGTTATCAAATCTACATCCCTTTTGAATACTTTGTTCAAATTTTGATAAACAAATCTTTTATTGTTCAACATGAAGCCTATTTAATTTCGTTTGCCTGGAATATGTAGTTACTCAGATATTCACATTTTAAATGATGTCAAGTTGGTGGGCGGGGGGGGGACATCCTGTATGTCTTACACAAATCAATATGCCGATGAATAAAGTGGAATTTTGAATTTGCTGCACTTAGTTTTACTTTCTATAGGCAAGAAAATGTCAAATATTGCAACTCATGCTACTGACACATGATATGAAAATCCAAGCAAATTTTAAGAGGCCATAACTCCTGAACTATGGATCAAATAAAAGGTTCATCTTCAGGTTTTCCCTCAGGTATGTATCACAGTGAAATTTCATCAAAATCTGAGATGGTCACCATGGGAACTTTTGAAATTTTCATTGAGTTGATATGAATTGACAAACACACACACACACACACACACACTAATATATATTTGAAGAATTAATCAATTTTTATTTTTTGAGATATTACTTCAAATGTGAATTTTAGTGAATAACCACATTTGAGTAGAACACCCCATTTTTTTAAAGTGTTTATTTCATCTACTGGTCTGCATATTTGAGAAAACCCGGAAGGCACATTCTCTTTATTAAGTTTTCTTGAATGCTCAGACCAGTCTGTTTAACGGCATATCAACACCTTATGGGTCATTTAATGCTGAAATTTAATTTTCTTGGGAGCCTGGAAGGAATAAAACTGATATATATTGTTCTACTTTTACAATTGAATAAATGGTAGATGATACTCAGCTTTTGTGGATATATATGTTTCTGGGGACATGATTACTATAGGTGATGATACGTGTGTTTTATGTTGTAGATTTCTTTAAAGTTAGATTTTGGAATACAGTTTAAGAAATTGTCAGATATAATCATTAATGCCATGAAAGTTCTTTCATGTTGGTTGTTTGGTAGTATTTTAAATGGATTTGGGTGAAGTCACTACAATTTGTTAACATGTGCATATTGTAGGTAATTTTACTATAAATATATATTGTTGGTAGCTTATTTTTATATAAAAAAATGTATTGCTAGTATTTTTTCATACTTTCATAGTGTTTTGCTTGTTTGGTGATTTGCTATTTTTCCATAGCTGGGACCCTAACAGGTGCTACCACCCTGGATCAGGGTAGACCTGGGAACAACAACAACAACAATTAAGATATGGTTCCACGTTCCTCAAAATCTCCAATCTCCCAATCTGAGTTCTTGCTGCCTGATGTAGTTTATCGTTATACCCAGGACTAGACCAGTAGATGAAATAAACACTGTCTAAAAAACAGGATTTTCTACTCAAATATGGGTATCCACTAAAAATAATATTTGAAGTAAAATGAGAGCCCATTATATTATTATAGCAATAATTAGCAAGATAGTCTTGCAAAAATTTTGATCTTTAGTGGGTACCCCATAACTATAGCCTTCTACCAGCCTGAGCTAATATGAAACTTTAGCAAGGTTCTAAACAAGACCTTCACCTGTGAAAAGGTTTCAATGGCAAGCAGCCAAATTAACAGAGTAAAAATAAAATAGCAATGTTGACCATATTTTCAGGTTTCAGGCACATCAACTTTCATAGAATGGTCACATGCAAATCTAGGTTTTTTTCGTTTTACTGACAATAGGAATAAATTTATTTTTAAATTATTCATAAAAATTATTCAATAAAGAAAAAAAAATGATTTGTTACAGTGTAGGGCATTTAACCAAATAAAAATAAAACTACCAATGGTTCAGTAATAAAATAAAAATAAAACTACCAATGGTTCAGTAATAACTTCATTTTATAACTTGTTAAAAACAAAAAAAATATATCAAGTTTTCTTTTGCTTTGACAAAATTGAATCTAAAAAAAAAAAAAAAAAACTAATCGAATAAATTATCAACTAATTACTACATTGATATACCAGGTGAGGTAGGTCAAAGAGGACCTGTTGAGTGGCCATTAAGGTCATCAGATCTCACACCCTTGAATTTTTTTTTCTGTGGGGCTCATTTGAAATCAGTTATTTATCAGACACACCCAAGAAATATTGAGGAACTTAAAGAATTAAATATGAATGCAATAAAATGACAGAAGAAACTTTCCGATGTGTTAATGAATCATGCAAGCACAGAATTGAAATGTGTTTTGAAAAAGAAGGACGACATTTTGAACAACACATATAACAATTAAATAATTAGTAAATAAATTATACATTTAATAAATTATCCCTATGGTGCACGACTTTTGCCTCACCACTGTATATTTTGATCAGTGAGATGGTGAGAATAGAGTACACAGGGTTGTTTTACTTACCCATGATGTGCACTGGTAATAGCCAGAAAACATATGGAAGGCAAACATGGTGGTAAGACTTGTAATCTTTTAATGCATTCCAAAAGCATTTCTTTGGTCACCTGGTCATTGGCTGGTTTTTTATCTGCTGTTGCACTGGACGACACATTGGCTGAGTTGATGTCAGTCAACTGACCAGCAGCTGAAGCCTGAAGAATCGGGGGCTTTGGCTCAAAGACAGGAACTCTGTCAGATTTCACTGAAGAAAAAGTAAATGCCAAAAATCACACACCAGAAAAGAAAAACACAGTAAATCTCGTCATTAATTTATATTATTTTATAAGTACATTTCATGTTAACAATCCAATGTACAAAAAAAAAAAAAAAAAAAAAAACAACCAGAAAATAACTGCCAGTAACAAATGGACATATTAATCTTATTAATAAAAGATCAGCAAAACATTTTGTTTCTAAAAAAAAAAAAAAAAAAAAAAAAAAAAAAAAAAAAAAACTTCCTTAAAAGTTTAAATAATTGCCTTAATTTTTTTTCAGTTAAAACATTTTAAATAGAGATTTTATATGATATTTTTAATGAAACTTGTATAAAAGAGGGATTGTTGCCCAAATAAACAATTATTAAATTACATGTCCTGGCAGCCAACAATAAAAAAAAAAATTAACCACAGCACCTTGTCAGTCATTTTTTTTTTTTTTTATATATATATTTATATATATATATATATATATATATATATATATATATAGTGCAGTGGTAAGAGCATTTACTTTGCAACCATGAAATCTGGGTTCATATCTCACCATGGTTGATTTTTGATTTGTCAGAAAGGTAACTTCTTGATGTTATCAACCGGGGATTCAGCATGCGGCACTTTTGAGAAGTCTCAAAAGTGCCAAACTACAGGGTTGTGACTCTCAAGCATTCTGAATGAAATTGGTTAAATGGAATGTGTTCTTTGATGGTTGTGCTAGCACAAAGTCACATGTCAGCATAAACGAACGTTGGAGAGTACTGCCCATGTTGTGACTATTGATCACACCAGATCATGCCCCAGAAACTATAATTAAGTTTCACTCAGCATAGTTGTAGGTGGGCTCTGTAGGGGTTGAACAAACATGAGCCCAAGAAGGCATCTGCAACAGTTAGTCACCCGAGCAGACAGGTATGCTTAGATATGAGTGGCCAGATATTATATATTATTAAAAACATACATTTTGTGTTAATTTTACTGATCGATTTTTCCTAATTACGAATAACCCTTCCCAGGCACGAAGGAAATTCTGTCAGAAAATTAATTTCAGATGTACCGGAAATATGGTCCAAGCTTTCAACTAAGTTATCACCAGGGTAGGTAGAGACATTTGGTGAGTTTCCTAGAACTAATGAGTGTTGTGACATAAGCAAGTGTGTTATATATATATATATATATATATATATATATATATATATATATATATATATATATATATATATATATATATATATATATATATCTATATCATGTTAAGGAGTTAAATATTTTTTAAAATTTACATTCAAAATTTATTCCTCATCTTTCTTGTGACTATTACAAGGTTTCCACTGTTGTGCTCCCTGGCCTTCTTCAGGTGTCAAGGTGTGAGTAACCATCAAGGAATTTCAAACTGATCTCTTTATTTAATCTACAGGCCATGTTTTTTTTTTTGTTTTTTTTTAAATGTAGGGATCAATTTAAAGTTTCCTGAATGTTACCCAAATCAGTAGACACTTGAAGGGCACAACAGCTAAAACATTGTGATAGTAACAAAAAAGATGAGAACATTAGTCCAATTAAATAGTTCCTTATCTCAGAAATTCAGACAGAAATGAAAAAAAGGGATTGCTGCAAAGGAATTTGACAATATTAAAGAAAACTGTGATTGCTGCTGACAGTAGATTATTAAACAACCAAAAAAGGTTTTCTTTGAATTTTTCCTTTTCAAACAAATCAGTAATCCATGTGTCATCTCATGAAACTGCAAACAACAAATTTGATGGCATGTTGACATCTTTGATCACAGTACCAAACAAGTATTTCTTTGAGTAGTTTCTCTTTGGTACCTCAGCTGCACAAATTCAAGCAAACTATTAGACTGGCAACTAAGTCTTACTGTTTCATTGTTGAAATAGCTAAATGTAACTATATGCTCTAATCCAATCATTTCTTTTCTCACCTGTTGAACTTTCTTCCAGTGTCTTGTTTCCCTGCTGCTACCTACCTTCTTCAAAAATTTAAATGCAACACCAAGCGCCATCTTGTCTTCTTCAATCCTGTTCTGTTATTGTCCTTTCTCCTCATTAACGTCTCCTTCTCTTTCACTACCAGTAACCTCTTATGTCATAGTTGCATTATCACCTAGCTTGGGGTGAAATCTAGTAGTATATTTAAATTCATACAGTCAACGAGGTGAAATCATCAGAACAATTACCATGGAAATACTTGTAGAAAAGACAGAGGGAAGCCACATCATCATGATAAAGTGATTGATCAAAAAGCCAATTCAGGATCAATTATATTACAGACCCTTCTTTGAATTTTGTCAACAATATAGCAAGATATGGCAGCTATATTCACTGCAGAGATGAATGGTAGATTTATAATGTGCAAAATGGATTCTTGCAAGAAAAACGGTCTGGCATGACACAGTGATCCAACTTACCTAGCAATTGATTCAATAAAAAAAATCACTCCACTTCATATCAGTGGAAAATGTGAGCCCAAGAAGGCACAATGAATATCTCTCTTGGAGGTTAGCATCAGCCATGCTGATGGAAGGCAAAAAGAGTTCTCTATAATGAGGTTTTGTTTTGTAGGCATTCAAATTTACAAGCCATTTCTTACCCCAGTTAACAACTGAGCAAAGGTAATTTTCGAAAGCAGTTGCCAGTTTAACTTTGTTGGACTTACTGTTAAGACAGGATTAAATACTTTGTCATCAGCAGAAATACCTAGTTGGGGTGGGGGGACTGATGACATCAGCAATGTCATAAAAGAAGATAAGGATAGAGGGAGGGGGGTTGCATCACTGAAGCATGTCTGTTAAAACAACCTTCATTAGTTACTAAAACCAATTTGCCTTCATACATACACAACTGAGATTTTGATCTTTTATGTCTTGTAGCCCTTCAGAACATATAGACAGGCATGGCTCTCTACAACTTTGTCTTTTGTTCTTCTAAATAATTTTTAAACTTTTTTATCATCACTTTACTTTTGCTCTACCATCTATTCACAAATTTAAGTAGGTTACTCCCCACTTCCTTTCGAGTTCAATATGCCTTGTGACTATTAAATTCTCTAGGCCTTCTTTCCTTATAGTTGTTCCAAAGATTCCATCTGTCTCATTATGTATTATCTTCAGACCTAGACTGATCAGCAACAAACAATATTCAACTGTTTAATCAATAAAGAGAAGACAAATACAAAAAATAATTATAAAATTTAAAATAAATCTTACCTTCTACTTTTAAGTGTTTATTAAATATTTGCAACATTATCATATTGTCATCAGCCTACAAAAAGATGAAATTTATATTTATTTAAAATTTAATGTTTGAAATATTCTCATCAATCTATTCATAAATATCAGGTACCTCAACAATTGATTATTCCAGCAGGATAATACACTATGCCATTAGCTGCCCAAGAGGCCCAAAATTGGTTTGAGGAGCAATGAATTGTGTGGCACTACATTCAGACATGAACTTAAACATTTATAGGACATAGTGGAGAGGTGTATTCAAGGTATTATATCTACAAATATCAGGGAGTTTTGGTCAGCTATCAACAGCAGGAATCAATATCTTTTTAAAGGTCTTCTGATAACTTGCAAAATTGATGCCACATTAATTCTCTGCATATTGGTGGACCAGAGGTCTGATACTACCCCACTCTTGTATTTCAGATTTCTTTTAGGATTTTAAAGTCAGTTTTTTTTAGCTCAGTCAGAACTAAAAAGGAGGCTGCAGGCCATAAAATCAACAGTGTTCTGCTTAAAGGTCAATAAGTGTCCCACAGCGTTTCACACTTTAGCAAAATTAAAAAAACAAGCCACTGATCTGAACAGACTAATTTGAAATTTTGTCTAACAGAACATGTCATTTTCTTTTTATCAACCATGACCATAAAAGAGATGTATGTTTGTGCTATATATAAAACAAGCATAATACTATGGCAGGTTTCTTTCTTACCTTAATCACACAATGGCACATATAGAGAGTACATGAAAAAGAATCATAGTCCATGTCTAAAGAAAGCAGTGAGATGTAAAAAATCAGATGATTCCTATGTCCTATGCGTAAAAATTGAGATATATTTTGAATATATTTAGCAAGAAAATAAAAAGAAGTGCCAAAAAGAAAAACATTTTTGCAACACATTTCATCCTTAAACATACTTCATCAAAGGACAAATTTCTACATATGAATATAGATTTTTCTCAATAAATTTCCACATTTGCCTTTGTTCCTCAAAGAACAAAATAAGTTTTCCTCTTATTTCTTATATATTTCTAAAGAATTAATGGATTTATTTTTATACACAAAAAGAAGTAAAATTGGTAGAGGTGTTAAATCAGGTTTTTTTTTTTTTTATTTTGTTACTGTTAATAAAAGTAGAATTTTCATTGCATTCTGAATCAAATTAAAACTACGTTTCTCATTGGCTAAAAACAATAACCACCATTTTTGAATTACAGTTAAAAAGCAAAACAGAATCTGCTTCTCTGATTGGCCAAAACATCCATAGTCAAAAATTAAACAAATCTCAATTGGTCAGAATTCCAACACAGAATTGCATTTAAGCAGGCACAAATACTTACAATCATGTGGAAGCTATGCCAGAATGCTAGTCTAGAAATGATTGCTCTTGACTAGGCCCAGGGGAGAGAATGTCTGATGTCATGGAGGCCCAAAACTCTCTATGACCCCAGAATAGATATCACAGAGGAAGCATTCTGGTGCACAATATATGCGTATGAAATGAACATGGGTGCAAGAATTAATTGTAATTGAAGTGGGTCTTTTTTTTTTTTTTTAAATTTTATATGAAAATTCTTTAAATAATTTGTACATACCTTCAAAAATCGCACCAAATAATCAAAAGTATCTTGGGTGAAAGAAAGTGTATATTTATTATCCCTACAATAGAGAAGGAAAGAAAAAAAAAAAAAATAAAGCATTAAACAAGCAAAATTACAAGAGGGGAGGAACATGAAATTTGTGTCCCCCTCCCAAACAGATTTTGACTTGTGTGACTTCTTTAAAATCATTATCTCAATAACCAAATATTTACATTCAGTCGAATAATACATTTCAGATGCATCAAGGATGGTTTTCAGTCATGCACTGTCTACATCACCGATTTCGGGTTTTGCATCATATTGGCTCAAACAGCAACCCCAGCCTGATTCCAAAAGGGTCAGGCCGCCTCCTTGATAGTGTTGTGCTACGCACCTCGACATTGCAAAAAAACATTCAGCTATGGCTAGGAGTCCAACCGTTCTTATTGACATATGTCAATCAACATCAGCAAATGAAATAAAGGCTTTTCACCCTTCCCTCCTATATAGTCTTGTCTTTTGCTTCATCCGGTTTTGATTCACACTATTTCCCTGGAATTCATAACGAGGTAAGCTGGACTAGTTCTTGCATAGTTTAATCCAATGTTTTGCATTTTAAATACTAATTCGATAACTGAACCATACCACTATCACTTTTCCTAAAAAAAAAAAAAAAAAAAAAAAATACACTGATTATTCTTACTATTATATAAAAATCTTTAAGTCTAACCTTCTACTCTTAATCAAATGAAATTAGAAAAATGTATGCACATTCATGCCTCTACATATAAATGTAGTAAATGTACTCTCACTGAAACCGTTCATTACAAAATTATCTCGTGATGTTTATTTGAAATTCCTTACCAGTTTTGTAATCTATTGATTAAAATAATACAATGGCAAAATCTAAGTAAGGAAAAAAAATATAAATGAATAACTAAAAGAAACCTAAACTAACTTACTCACATTTACAAAATGAATCTAGCAAATTAATACTAGAATTACCACTCAACAATTATCAAACTATGATTACTATGATCTAACTTTACATTCATAAGTATTAGGGTTGGAAATGAAAATAAAAAATAAATACAAAAAAAAAAAACAAAAAAAAAAAAACAAAAAAACTCATCCTTTGACTCCCACCCCGACATGCACAAACACTTCTCAACCCCCATCCATCCTAGTTTAACTACACTGAATTAATAATTTTCTCAATATTCCCTTATAGATTGAAACCCTCTCCTCCATTTCCCTAAGTATGTTTGGGAGTTGTTGTTTTTTAGCTTTCCCTTCCATCACACTTTTCTTTTTTTTCTTAGTTCTTCCATGGCTCTTATCTATTAAGCCAAATCCACTTGGAAGCAGTTAAAACTGCATTGGTGATGTCCTTCAGCACTCTCTCCCTTGCTGTACCCACTATGCCTATTTTTGCTAGGGCCTTACACAATGTCTGCAAAGCCCCTGCAACCAACTTCTACCAGATCATAATATATTCTCCATGACTTGCGACGACATTGTTTGACAAGTTCTTGGTACTTGGACCTCTTTCTCTCATTAGCCAGTGTAATAAACTCCTCCCACGAGACAGTTCCCAAATGATACACTGCTTAATGTTGTCGGAATGCAATATCAGATCTGGTCTGAGTGATATTACTGCTATGTATCTGGGGAAATTCAGCTGGGTCTTTAAGTCCACTATCAACTGACAATCATCTGCAGAAGATAACAAACTTGTTTTCTCTCTCTTCTCTTTCTGTATCCTTACTGTAGCTTTGATGAAGTCAATTTGATTCAGCTTCTTCCCTGGTTGATGCTTATTAGCTCTTATAGCTTTAATCACCTAATTTGCAATCACTTTAAGAGCTTGGTCATAGCGCCACTGGTACCGACCATCACCCAAAGCTTTGGGCAACTACTCAGGATGTGTTGTAATGCTCCTTTCCTTGCACATAGTTGGCAACTGGGGGAGGGTATCGCTCTTCCTCCATATATGCAGGTTAGTTGGGCTCGGTAGAACATCATAGACTGATTTGATCAGAAATCTAATCTGGCTAAAATCTGATCGCCAGCACTCTGACTAGGTAATTTTTTTCTGATCAACGTTCTCCCATTTCGTCCAGGCTCTCTGCTGACTTGGATTGACCATACTACAGTATTGTGCTTCTTCTATGCCTGCATTGACTTCATCTTGGATAAGTTGGCGCCTTTCTTTGCCTTTGGCAATGTTGGTTTGTGGGCTGGGGAAAAACCCCAACCCCACTTTGCTTTTAGCTATTGACCCCAGTATAGCTTTATGCCTAAGTCTCTCCTCTGCTACTCACAACTCTCCTTCAGCGTTCCATTTCCTGCCAGATCTTATCTGAATTCCAGCTGCTGCCACTTTTGGATTTTTGGATTCTGCATGCAGCAGTCGTTCTCTCATTGTTGTGACTTTGAATTCTTCTACAAGGCTACTAAAGGGGAGGTGCAATACCGTAGAGGGCCGCACTACGTAAGCATCTTGGCAAACCCAGCCACCTTCTCAACCGATTACTAATCGCGCTCTCTAACGTTTCCACAGTGGTAATAGGAACATTATAGACTAGCAATGGCCAAAATATCCAGGGTAATACTGCATGCTGGAAAAAGACATGTCTTGAAATCTCCTGGCAATCCTGATTTGTCAATCTTTGTCAGCCACTCCTCAAGATCCTTTTTAGTCTGCTGGATCAGACTACAGTTGAAAGTTTTGCCCAAGCTCTTCACAGGCTTTTTGCTCAGGGTAGGAATTGTTGCTTCTGCGACTAAAAATTGGACTTTCTCCATGACCTTGCCTCTTTTCAATACTAGGGACCTATATTTAGCTGGTTTGAAATTCATTCTGACCCATTTTCTTTGAGACCCTTTAATAGTCATCTGCCTCCCGTGACAGATATCATGGTTAACTCATCCATATAAGCCCTTATCAGTGCCTGGCAGACACCTGATTTAGACACAGGGCCTCGTCATTCAACCTCTGCTGCCTTTATCAGCATGTTCATGGTCAATAGAAATAAGACAGCAGACAATGTACAACCTGTGATTATACCCTTTTCTAGTGTCACCCATTCCGAGGCTGTTGTACCTGCACCCACTCTCAGCCGGAAATTCTCGTAGTGGTTTACTATGAGATCGCAAACTGCTGGGAGGTATGTAATGTCTCTTTAGAGTTTCCTCCACCTTTTTGTGTGGCATGAACCCTTAGGCATTGGCAAGATCTAACCACAATACAATCAGGTCCCCTTTGCTTTCCTTAGCTTCTCTTAGGAGCTGTGTCGAGACTCCTGTATGCTCAAGGCAACCCGGCATTCCGGTGACCCTGCCTTTTTGGACTGATGTGTCAATGCAGCCATTTTTGAGAATGAAGTTCGAAAGGCGTCTTGACAAAAACCTGAAAAAGATCTTACTCTCGGTGTTCAGTGTGATTGTTGTGAGCAAGTTACATGACATCATGCCCGAAAACGGCCACACATTGGATACGTATGGTGTTGCAGAGCAGTTGGAGGAAGGGAGAATTGGCGGGGTGCGCCTATGCATATGTAAAACTCTCCCACTCAACCAATCGGCTGCTTCACCATGCAGAATCAAATGAGTGTGTCTGAAGGCTTTGGCAGTGGGGGCCAGGGGAGCCAATAAGGACTTCAAGAGATGACTGCCCTGTTCTAGTGGGTCCTTTTTGGCATGATGGCTATAAGCTATTTCGGCAATTATGGCTTTTGATCCTAAACTGATACCGCTATTTGATGGAAGCGATTCTGGACAGTCAGTTATCAAGTGGATAGAGAAGGCAGAATTGATATGCCAGCTTAGCGGCATAAAGCGTATTGAATGTGTGGTTCCTATACATGTATCGGGTGGTGCATATGCAGTGTACCAGCAGCTGAGCGAAGAAAAGAAGACTTTACCTGCGTCAAAAATGCTTTGTATACGGCATCCTCTGGCAACAAACACAAACATCAGACTTCTAACCGTCATTCCACCAACCAGAACTGAAAGTTTATGCAATTCAGCCAAAAAGACATCCACAGTCTCACCTGAGCACAAGCAGCATGCTACAAATTGCTTCTAAGCTGTGATGGAGTCCAGAGCAAATGCCATATACAACTGGATGGGATGATAAGTACAAGTCCCCCTCCTGAACCAGATGTTGGCAGACGTTTTTGCCAGAGTGGCGCAAACAGATCCAGCGCATGGCGACTGGTGCATTGATGGACAGGACATGGTTGGACGCAAGCTTATTAGCCACTGGTGTTGTCATTGATAGTTGTGGAGCAGTGGCTGAAGATGCTAGTTGGCTGCGAACACTGAGTGAGGATAAGCACATCAACTTGGCAGAACTCAACGCAGTACTGTGGGGCATCAACCTCGCACTGCAGTGGAAAGCAAAAGCAAAGGTGATTCACTTGAAGACAGATTCAGCGTGCATGCATTGCTGGGTATCAGACACGTTATATGGAAATTTGAGGGTACGAACCGAGGCTGCCACTGCCGCTGGTCAGGTGCCGGCTCAGCACATTTCAGAATATGAGCTGAAGATCGACATGGCATTTGTTAAGTCCCATGATAACCAGGTCAATCAGCTCACTAGAGGGCCGCAGCGATGGCTGGATGATATTCAGAAAGAGACGGAATCTGTAGAACGAGCGTGCGCTGTGGCTGCAGAAGGCGAGGAGTCTGCTCATATACAAGCCATTCATCAGTCTAGTGGACATCCCTGTATGAAGCGCACACTGTACTTTGCAAAATTGGTCATCCCCGGAGTTTCCAGAGTGGCTGTTCGGGCAGTAGTCAGGGATTGTCAATCCATAGATCCTGTCCTGGTGTATTGGAAGCCAGGCAGGCTTTCTGTATGCAACAATTGGAGCAGAGTGGGAATGAATGTGACCCATTTCGGAGACCAGTACTACCTAACGCTGATAGACTGTGGTCCTAGTCAGTTTGCCATTTGGAGGCCATTGCAGTGTGAAGACTCCACCAATATCTCCAGCAGTTGGAGACAATCTTTTTTGAAAAAGGACCGACGATTGAACTGCTTGCCGACAATGCTGCAGTGTTTTG